CTCTCTGTTACTCTCTCTTTCTCTTTGGCGTAGATAGAAACACACACATCCTCTCGCACTCTATCAAAGCGACCAAATTTACGTGCCCAAAAACCTACAACCGTATAAATTCCTGTACTTTTATGTAAGCTTTATATAAAATTCAGGAACTACAATGAAGGTGAGCCGAAAACAACAGCAAATAGACTAGATAGATATAAGAATAAGTAAACAAATAACAAACCAATTAAATAAATGAATGAGAATATTAATGACGATTCCCTAACTCATGAAGAGTCGGTTTGTGAAGGTCTGCTCAGCAACACAACATCTTCAAGAAAAAGTCGAGTTGTGGTGATAATCCCCAGATATAAATACGATATCGTCCCAGCGGTCTCCACTCGCCAACACGCACGCTCAATATTATATGTCTTATAGCCCCCCCTTCTCTTCCCCTCCCCCCTTGACGCCTACGCTAGTCCCCCCTCCCCTCGCCCCCCCCCTCTAGACACTTTACCTCTCCCTCCCTTCCGCCTACATGCTTTCACCCCCTCCCCTCCCTCTCTAGTACCGATTCTTTGTATTACCTTGTGGGCGTTGGTTGAAGGGGGAGGGGGGGGGGGAGGCCAGGGGAGGGGGGAGGGAGAGGGCGTATGGAGGAGGGGGCAGGAGGGAGGAAGAGGGGCAAGGGTAGGGGTGTCGATAAGGGGAACGGGGAAAGGAAGAAAACACGGGGAGGGGTGTCGAGAAAATGGAGAGGGAGAAAGAAGGGGGATGAGAGGGGAGGAGTGTTGAAGGGGCGGGAGGGGGAGGGAAGGGAGAGGTAGAGAGGGGGGCGAAGAGAGGGTATGGAGAGGGGGAAAAGGTAAGGGAGGGGGTGGACGGGAGGGAGAGAGGGAGGTAATAGATGAGCTCAGAGCAAAGGATACAAGAGTACAAAGATACAATGTATAGTGTGTACCTTGACTACGGTCGACAGCCATGATCATTTTACGAAAACATATTATCGTTTATAAATTAGTATCGATAGAAATAATTCAGTGTTAAGATGAATTATCTTAAACCATGAGACTAGTTTACTATAACAACATTAATTATAATTTCATTAAACTTAAACCAACACAATAGTAGTAAACAGTATTTCAAACACCTAGGATACCAAAAGTCACACCAAGGACAGCACCATTTATACAAATTAAGATAAGCTAACTCATGCTTAAGATAGCATTTTTCTTACTACTTAGAGGGCCATGATTCATGCATAAAATTCACGAACCATGCCTTCTGCGATGGATGTGAGAGATATATTTAAAGAAAATATGATAGAAGATATGAATGAGAAGCTATCACAGTACGATACAATACAATTCTGATGAAAATGTATTACAGAGATGTATATTGATGCATTGCAGTCTGTGATTTCTCCTTCATAATTGTCTTCGCCACAAAGAGGAGAACCAAACGATGAGCTTTATTTCTGTACAGAATTAGGCGCAAGGATATAATATGTTTTTTTTTATACATAGTCTTGCTCTCTCTTTCTCTTTCTCTCTCTCTCTCTCTCTCTCTCTCTCTCTCTCTCTCTCTCTCTCTCTCTCTCTCTCTCCCTCTCTCTTCTCTCTCTCTCTCTCTCTCTCTCTTTCTCTTCTTTTCTCTTTCTCTGTCTCTGTCTGTCTGTCTGTCTGTCTCTCTCTCTCTCATGTGCGCGCGCGCGCGCGCGTGTGATATATATATATATATGTATGTATATATATAATATATTATATATATATATATTATATAGAGAGAGAGAGAGAGAGAGAGAGAGAGAGAGAAGAGAGAGAGAGAGGAGAGAGAGGAGAGAGAGAGAGAGAGAGAGAGAGAGAGAGAGGGAGAGAGAGAGAGAGAGAAGAGAGGAGAGAGAGAGAGAGAGAGAGAGGAGAGAGAGAGAGAGAGAGAGAGAGAGAGAGAGAGGAGAGAGAGAGAGAGAGAGAGAGAGAGAGAAGAGAGAGAGAGAGAGAGAGAGAGAGAGAGAGGAGAGGAGAGAGAGAAGAAGAGAGAGAGAGAGAAGAGAGAGAGAGAGAGAGAGAGAGAGAGAGAGAGAGAGAGAGAGAGAGAGAGAGAGAGAGAAGAGAGAGAGAGGAGATAGAGAGATAGAGAGGAGAGAGAAGAGAGAAGAGAGAAGAGAGGAGAGAGAGACAGAGAGACAAAGAGAGAGAGAGAGAGAGAGAGAGAGAGAGAGAGAGAGAGAGAGAGAGAGAGAGAGAGAGAGAGAGGAAGATAGATAGATAGATAGAGAAAGATTTTCCTGATTTGATAGTTGTACATAGCAAGAGATTCAAACTTTATCAAAAGTTAATATAATGTTAGCATATTTTCTAACAAGTTAGTGTTTCTCAGTTTTACATCTTCACCAAAATTTATCAACCTGGATAATAATGCAAGACCTCATTTTGAATTTTATCTAGAGTTTGATAAATTAGTTTAGATAGTGAAACATGGCAAAGTTTTCCCGTAGAGTCAAATAAACCTTATTGGTAGACACTATCCACCTGTAATGACTCGATATTCAGGTATGGAAAGGCTATCAACTTATACTTTCTTATGATATATAGACATGTTGTTATACTGTTTACCCCTTTGAGAGCTACTGTTCTTATCGAACTCAAAGTGTGTGCTTACTTTCGTTGTTCAGGGTATACACATTTTTGGTTAAAAGTAGACACATTTTGGCATAAAAAGACATCGCAGAGAAAATACAGTGCAATGGCACCGAATGTATCGCAGGGATGCGTGGCTTCCCCATTTTTTTGCTTCATTTAACGTCTCGCCCATAAAAACAAACCGAAATTGTTTGAGCTAATGATGATAATATCACTTTCAAGCATTTAGCGGTATCACGCGCCGCTGCCTGGAGAGACAGATCCTAAAAACAACATTCACATTACAATAAGACCAACATACAACTAGATAAACACGAAAAAATAATTTACACAGGACAAGTGGATAAACGACGCACACATACATTCACCGCACATTAACCACGACCACACGCGTGATTGTGTGCCGACGATGTCAACAAAGCGCCAGTTTGGTGGCAACGCGGAAAAGGGAAGAGAAGAACCGGCGAAGGGAGACTGAGACGCTGGGATATGTATGAGAATAATTTTACACGTCTCTGCGAAAGGCTATGATTTCCTCTTAAAATTGTTTGAAATATGCTTTCCCAGCAAAGGCGTCGGTTTTCTATATGGTTAACAGAATGCTATGGGGACCATTTCATCAATAAGTATATTCGAAGGTATACCGTGGGAACAGCAGTATTTCTATTTTTTCTGTTTATATTTTTTGTATTCATTGAGTACCTCAGTCTTTAAATATGTAATCAAATCAATGTTTCTTTTGTGTACCTCGCTGGCTATCCTGCTGAAAATATACACCAAAAAGATTGTGGACGAAAAATGTAACGTCCCTAAGAATTTTTCACATGTATCTTTTGATATATCATCTATTCGATGTTACCTTTATGAACCTCAGCAGGTGATTTATTAAGGATACACTCCAGGAAGGTTTGAGAAGAAAAAATGACATCCCAATATATTTTTTTTCTCTCAAAGGCATCTCAGCATGGCAGTCTTTCATGGCTGAGCGTTCATGCCCACAGGTGTCTCCTTCTCTCGTTGCCACCACAGAACGGCAGTGTTAATAACAGAAGCACGTGATCACAAAAAAACTGTTGTGTCTGGCGTGTTGCGGATGTATGAACTATGCTTTTTGAGTTTGTATCATGCATAAGGTAGTTTCTACGTCTTTATGTTCAGCTCTATACACATGATGCAATCCCTTCTTTGTAAACTCTGTGTAACTATTAGTAGGTGACGTCATTGATTATTAGTTGATATGCATTACGGTATTGTAGCAAATGCTTATAGGCACCACAAGTTACCACCACCAAACTTTGTACCAATAACATGTTATTTTAACTTTCTGCCAAGATTTGTTTACACTCCATTGAAATGAATACATTCGGGAGAATAATGTTTCATGTTCTGAACCTGTAATTATCACCTTTGGGAATATCCCGATATACTCTACGGTGAGAGACTGCCATATTTCACTTCTAAGTTTGAGAAAAGTTTTGGATGCATTATTCCATGAGACGCTGAAACGGCAAGTCACTACGAATCATAATGAACATATAAGTGATGATAAAGCTACAATAAAATCATTCTTGCTGCTACACATAATAACCTGTACAGTTTTTCATCCCAATCCAAGTAACGAAGAGAAAAGCAGAGTTTGCAACTGATAAAGTGTTCAAAAGTCATGGAGGAGGAATATGTTTTGCGTACGTAACCGGTAGGGAAACGTTTTGGTGTATTGCTAGCGAGTATAGCAGCCTTATCTCGTGCATCTGAGATCTGGAGAAACGATAGCGTGTTCTTATAAGATATTCAGTCAACTAGTTGTAACCGATGTGACGTGTTTTAGAACGGTCATGCGAACTCTGACATGCACAGTCCCCTCGGAAGTTCCTCTTTAATCTCTCGATGGAGGTCATTTATGGCCGTGGGTAATGCACATGTTAATGAGTGTCGGTACGTCCTTATTAAGGTCGCCAACAGGTAGAGGTCCTGTTTCCCGAAGTCAGTCATGCAGCGACCGACATGCGCATGTTATCTTTCATTGATTGGTTGCCTTGACTACCGGAGACAACAGTACATGGAGCTATATGCACCACTTAGCTCTAAATATCAGTCTAATATTGTATATTTTCCAAAACACATAGAATAGCATACTCAACAAGGCGTAGCATGCACCTGGACCGTCGTGGAAATAATAATTGATTTGGAAAGAAAGCGCGCGAGAGAGAAGCACAAAAAGCAGGAATCATGAATACCAACGAACCGGAAATCATGCAGTGGCAACTCCATGACAGCTGGAAGGTGAGGGGGGGGGGCAAGGGCGACCTGGCCCGCCTGAGCGCCACACGTCGGCGAGCGAGACCGCTGCCCGAGGAGCCCCGTGAGAGCCTGCTGGTC